TAACATGCGTGCATGAAACCCTTCAGTGAAGAAAGATAATGCTCACGAAATCTCTGTGAAGAAGTGTAGAATGTCATATTCCTGACTTTCCTGAAAAGGGTACTTTTATGGAGGAAAGCCATCGATTTCTTCACTTGTTGAAATTGTAGTGCCTCGAGTTCTTATTGTTTCTGCTGCTCACTTTCATTTGCTTTTATCGTTTTCATCTTATATCTGGCCCAACAACTGGCCATCTGGTGTGAATGCCACTTATTTCTTCACCAGTGTTTTCAAATAATCACTTTCTAACACAAATCTCGAAAATAGTCTCTCTGAATGCTCCTACACCTGATTTGTGTGATTTTCAGAGTGTAAATCTGAGCCTCAGATGTCAACTTAGTTTTTGCAAACTAATTTATCTACTTTTTATTATTTGTACTGAATGATGATTGAAGGTGGGATGAAAATTTGAACCGCGACCTCCGTTGTTGCACTGGATAGAATCAATCGGTCTCCCCTACGCAGATACCTCTTTATTTCCTGAATATCTGCTGATGCAGCGAATAACCCTTGTCGTTTGAAGCGACAGATACGTGGTTCGAGTTCTTGTGCAAACTGGATCACTAATCTGGGCACAGTTGCATCCAGCTCACAAATGCCGGAAAGGACAAAATTTTCATCCCGGATTTTAATACTAACTATAACCCAGTCATTTATAATTTATCTCCCTCATATCACTTTTATTCATCGTTTTTCACTGAACATGACTGCACAGTTACCTACCTTAATTCGAATATAAAATGTTGACACTTAAAAACATCTGTGTGACATACTTAAGGCAGATGTAAGTTTCTGTTATTGCTAAGGCTGAACTGTTAGAATATATCGCAATAATCAATTAGATTGAAAGAATTAGTTACAACTAAAAATGAACTCTTGAATATATGCTCAATAGAACCGACTTTCACCGTTGCACAACCTTTTCTGACGGGAAGGACGAAAGTTCTTTGACAAAAGAATAAATATGGACTGCATATTCTGAAGTATTCATACAAATTTTCACGTGTTTCTAACTAATAGTCATTAAATAGCAAAAGATGTACTGAAATCCGAATTAGGTTGAATGAAACTGTAATATGGATTGTGAGTTATTCGTCAAATATTTTAGTTAATACCTAATTTAGTTCACGCTCACACTGTGAGGTGAAATAATTTTTTCCCCATGAATCTTACTCTTTTGCTTTGACTAGAAAGGAGGAGTATTTATTCGTAACAGTAATGGAATATACAGATCAATCAGGAAGCTAATATTCACTGGTTTTTAATCCATTCGCTTGTAGGCCTTTGAATCATTTTTCTCAAGTAAAACAGTACTTTAAAACTGTGTGGACAGCGCATTCAGCAGTCTGCCTGAAGCTTGGGCAGCCGAAGTTGCCAGTTAAACATGTGCATCAGATTCTTTCCTTTTAATTTATTTTAACCATTTAAATATGTTCTATGGAAGTTCCATGTACTCTTGCACATTCTAAAAATGTTTTCAACTAGCAGTTTATTGGGTCAAAATGAAGGAAAAATCTAACGTTAGATGAAAGTAGACTTCTAGAACGCAAAATACTGAGCTTTAGTCTCATATTCTTGCATTAGTAGCCACAACTGCTACTACGAAGCTCGTTTGTTTGTCCAGTCTCCAGACCGTATGACCTTGTTGAAACATTACGTGTTATAAATTTCATATTATATCATACGTGGTTTATGGAATAGGGTGATTATCATTACTCATTTCTGGAAAAGAAATTTTACATATTTGTGAACTAATTAAGGGAGCGGCAAAGCGATGGGAATTACAGAACCAACAGTTTCAAATATTTTAAAAGTTAATAATAAGTGCAGTTACGAAGTAACATTAAAAGATTTTTTCAATATACCTGTTTACTTTGTCGTATTTTTATTTCAACTAATTTTCGTTTTTCCCCGATTTCAAAGACAACATTCTCATCAAGGTATTCATAATCTCCACGCTCGTTTTCGGTCGTCTTACTGCTTTTTGCAGTACAGTCTCTGGTTTTTAATCAGTGAAAAATAATATGTATATAGTAATTTTAAATATATTCTAAGGAATTCGTAAGATAATAGTATTTTGATTGCCCTGAACAAGAATATTCTTAAACCATGCTAACATTTTCCCAGAAATTACTGTTAAATACGTGAATATGAACAAGAGTAAAGTTTAGTCAAATTTGAAGTAAACGTCTGCGTACTAATACAACGTACATTTCCCAGTCATCACCAGCAAGATGTAACCTGTGACTTGATTTCGCGTATACTGAGCATATTAGTAACTGTATCTTACGGTCTCATCCGAAAGAAATCTAAGTCCTTCCTAAATTCATCAAACAAGTTTCCTAGACCGATTTTGATGTTAACACTTAGATAGTTTAGACCAACAAATTCAATGAAGAATGGCATACTGATATAAAATACGTTTTTTGTTTCTTAGGCTGAAATCCTGTCACTTTATGTCTTGCTGAAGGAAATTATATTCTGTCACAGTTGAATGTAATCCATAGTATCTTAAACAGACTGGTACATTTAGAACATCAAATTATGTTGAAATAAGTGCGCCCGTAGGTAATCCAAAATATGATTTTGCGGTCGTAGAACGTCAGGAAAATAAGCCTTGATAATTTCAGTGACTACATTCAAGTATATTTATAGCCCTAATATAACTGATCATCTTGAAATCACTAGGAAGAGTCCAAGTTTCTTCTTAATTCAAATAAGTCTGAATCTGAATGTGTGCGTATGAATTTTTCTCACCAAATTTTAACTGTAACAAATCAATTATCATCACTCACAAAGATAAGCTAACGAAGTGCGAGAGAAAAGGGAGAACATGAGGACTGTATCCACCTGATGTGTAACTCTTCAGTAAACCACAATAAGGAAATTGTGCAGTATAGGGAGGGGAGTGTTGTATCATCCAGACATCGGAAACGGATCCACTGGTTAGCGTTTCTAGATTCCCATCAATTTTCGATGAAACTTCACCATCATCCAGTAAATTTACACTTGTATGATTTAGTTGACTTTAAATGCCAAGACTTCCCATGGTGACCGCATCAGATATCTTACTGTCAGAATTTAGTAAACTTTGAGGTGTTGCGTTTCACACCAGTTACTGAATGGTAACGTGTCTCTTCTAAACATAGAGAGTCTTACATGTTGTCTTGGCTCTCGTATGCTTAAGAGTCTCAAGCTAAGTTACACAGCCTACGAGATACCATCCTCTTTTAGCTGCAGTCTAACTGGCGTCAGTTCATGATGAAATTTTCCTCGTGATTAATAACTCATAACAATTTTATTGCAAAATCTCACTCATAGTAAACTTAGATATGAATTTTTAATATATATGTACATATTAAACCATAGAATATAAAAATTCAAGTCGTAAAACAACGATATATTGAACATTTTTGAAAATCATAAAATTGCAATTATTTCTTGCTCCATGGAGTTTGTATGATCATTCGGTAGTTAATGTATTAAGACAACAATACATGCGCCAGTTTTCTAAAAACTGCCAACTTTTCCATCGAACATCACAAGTATTATTAGTGATATCAACTTGCCCAATAATTCAGCTCTGCATGAATTCACTCAGTGGTCGAAGCAAAATTTAGTGCACATGCATATGTATACCGCCCGAGAGGGTTAATTTTTATTCACGGTTCAAATAATAAAGAAAATGCAGACAGTGACGTCTCTTTAGTTACTTGTCTATTTAAGTGTATGATGCATATAATGATGTAACCAAGAAGGAGTTACAGCAAAAAGTTCAGGACATAGCGTTTTAACAATTGTATAAAAGCTACAATATGTCTTCATCGTTGCCGCTAATGACCTTGATTACAATCGTTCATATGGAGTAGACTCGTAAAAATAATCTGAACATTTTTATGTTATTACTTTCCCAATGTGTCTAATTATCACTCTTGCATCATTTGAACGAAAAATAGGTTGTCAACAGCTAGAAAGATATTAGCTGAACATGTGAAAGCAGAATTATTTTCCAATGTTGGTTGGCTTTTTCTATAGGCTGTGGGGTAAGCAAACTATATTATTTTAATAAACACATGCAGTAGACGGAACATTTAACTTGTTTGCACTTAGCTGTACTTCGTCAACCAAGTTTCCAGTCTCTGTTCAAATGACTAACAAGTGTGTTACTTCTTCACAAAATCTTCATCACTGAAGTCTTGTCTCCAGCTTAAGGCTATCAGTACTCACAGACATTACAGTGCAGTTAAGAATTACAAGTATAAACGTGCTAATGTAGTTGCAGATTCAAACGAATCATGTAAAATAAAATGACGAGTATGAATTCGATCATAGTGTCTCAGTGAATCTATTATATAGTCTGTTTGCATTCTTTCAGAATTCTTTATGGTCTCTAAATGCATTTGCATCAGCCATCCACAACTGCATATAATTACTACTATTTTGAAACTTTCGAGTGTGACGGAAGGAGTAGAATGGATAGTATAAATTGAGGTGTTCATTTGCAGTAGTTATCGTGTTGATTTACGTTGTAGTGAGTTTAACATACACTATAATAATCGTTGAATAAAACAGCTGTAATGTTTATTTTTATGACACAAAAAAATTCCAATTAGTTGTCTCAGTAGTTGCAACACTGGTGTTTACAGTTGCCAACTTCAGCCTACAAGCACAAGGATATTGAACAAATGGTATTTAGGACGGATGGCAAACCGCTTGCCAGTTACGCTGTAAGTCGGATATCGATGTCCTATTTGGTGTTAACAGTCTTCACTATTTGGTTTGTAAAATAAAAACAAACATATTATAAGATCTATCAAATTTTCATTGATACTCATTTTCATATGAAATTAAATGAAACGTGTGATATGTCACGCATCTAAAAATCGCGCAATTTTCAAAATTCCGAATAGTGCAACACCTATCAAGGTTATTATTCATTAAAACAATCGTATACGTTTTACCTTGTAACAACTTGAATATTTTCTTTTGTTTCGCAGTTTCCCTGCCTAATGATCACAACTGTTATAGTAGATGCTTCAGGGTCTGGATAAAAATGACTTGACTGGAATTCAAAATGATTTATTTCTGAAGAAAACAAGGGGATATTATTAGCTGATGAGGTGGTGATGAATGCTAAACAAGAATATTTATGCACTAAAATATAGAAAATGTTGTGTGTCTCACCAGTAACAATTGAAGTGAAAATTTCGAGATGCTGCGGAGCACTGAAATTCTCTAAGAAACCTCAACCTAGGTTGATAAATGTCCTCCGGTCATTGTTGAGCACAAATCAGTCTTTCATGTTTCAAATCTCTTCTTAATGTGGGTCATTCACATGCTGAATGGTAAGGTCGTTGACTCAAATAATGTGTGATGCAAGATTGAATCCTGAAGGTGACACCAGTTGTCTCATGGTTTCAGAAACAACCTGGTGATAGGGGGTTAAAAAGAAACCTAGGCCTATAGAACAATCTTATTAGTTCCTTCCTGCTAAGTAAAGGTGTTTGGTGTATGACATTTGTTAACTTTGTTTACTCTCAATTCAACCAATGGGAATCATTGATTTTCTTTTCCTCTTCACTGTATTTAAATAAATTATTCAACCTTTTCCCTCAACAATCTACCAACCAAAAAATCTTTCCGAAAATGCCACCATTAAAAATCTACTCTGAACAACTGGTGAGTAACAGCAATTTTCACTTCTCTTTATACAGGTGCTACATTTATTTCAATTCCTACTCACTACAATTTACCATTATTCGCACCATCTTTTCTTAAAATTTGAATTTTCCCTTCTTTCAGTAGTACAACACTCACGGAAGTATCCCAGGTCATCTGTAGCCTAAGAAACCAGATGAATTTTTTGCCCTTTTACCGAATTTCTAGGTTTACCGTGCTTAGCTAGAAAACAGTGAGACTGGTACAAATGAATCAGAAGAGTATGCTTCGGTACACTTTCAGTATTGTCACTAAAAAGTAACTGCCTTGAATAAGGTACTAAACTGATGACAGTATGGATAAATATGTGCATACAGGTATCGCATGCCAGCTCTTTTCTTATTTAGTCCATGATTTTCCTAAGACGAAACGCTAACACTTCACTTATTTAAAAAAAATAAAACATCACCTAAATGTGCATATAATCTATAATTTCAGCAGTATTAATTTCTGTCATAGTTCCAGAACAAGAACTATTTTTAAGAATAACAGTTTCTGGTGACTTTCTCCCCAACCAATACAATTATCAATCTAGGAATATTATCATACAACTGTCAGTGTGTGGTATAAAAAAGTCATCATCATGACAAAAATATTACAAAATTAGACATATTTGAATGCAGTTTAAAATGTTGAACAGCAGTCGACTAATTTTATGATTCAAAAGAATACTGAATGCATAGACAGTTAGAAATTAAAACTGTGACTGACGGATAAATCACATTTGTGTTTATGTTTATGGAACCCATAAGAGAATTATTATCAATAGAATGAAAAATTATATGAAAATGACAAAATTAGAGTAAACGCCTATGACAAACGGAGAGGTGTTTAGCAGTGACAGTAATGCGATTATAGGTCTGTGTATTACTAATACGATTATACCGGAATCAATAGCATATGTACATTGAACGACTGCTATATTTTAAGGGAAAATAAAGGGTAGAAAGTCATATCGTAGGTAAATGATAACTACATAAAGCTATCCAAACAGAAACAGAAGGTTTACGAGCCTCCGTACAGAAGTCTAGATATTTTTCAACAAATATTATGATTTTATCCGTACATCAAAAATATAGTCATTTGTCATTCGGCAGGTTCCATGCTATTTAATATATAGCAGAGGAAGACTAATCAACCCTAATATGGTGTTTGGTGTTCATCAAGTAAGATACTAAGTCAACAATAATTGATTTAATCACCTTTTTTCCATCTTAAGCAGTTCCATGTCACTGTAACGAAAAGACGAAGTATCTAATATCCAGGATGAGTAAAACTAAATGATACAAATGCATTTAACAACTACCGGCAATTTCTACTCACCTTATTCAATAACTTATGCTACAACTGCGTTCAACAGTGACGTAATATTAAATAACCACTTAGTTTCTGAGCTGTAGTAATAGACAGGCAGTTTTGTTAAGCAGTGTTCCTTTCGCTTTTGATCTGCATATGAAAATGTGCTTTCCTAGGAGAATATTTGAGTACACATTGGTCAACCACATCATCAAATCCTCTTATTTCCTCGCTCATACTACCCTCTGAACATATTAGTTATCTTATTTAGTTCAACTTTGAACTGCATCTATTCTTTCGTGGACAGAAGAAAACTAAGTGAAACTAGATCTAACTATTCATTGCACTTTATTAAAAAAACTATCGAGATCATGTCTTGGATTACGTAGTATCATTTCACTCCCTGCTTATACCTACTGGTTAAGTTTGACCTTTGACCAAAAACTTGTCTGGAACATTCTATCACTTCGCTGATATTTACAACTGTGAGTGGTACAAAAGATATTTTTCTTCCATACACCCTTTTTGTGTATATTCAATTAGCTTCTGATATTCTCTCCAGATGTAGAATGGACGTTATGGCAAAAACAATGTCTGGTAAACGTTCGTTCTTATTTTTTGTCTAGATACGAAGGATGCATGTTACTGAACACTTTTTAAAGCTCATATTAAATACCTTTAACCAACCTACATCGACGCACAGAGGTCTAAATGCTTCACATGTTTAAATGTAAATAAAAACTTCTTTCCATTTCTTCAGAGTCACTCTAAACTGCTACTCGTTCGCCTTACTAGGGATTTTGAAATGTAACAGGAAATCGGTCTGACCAGCTAATAGATACTTCCTTTTTTGTAAATAAGCACATTTATCCACAATTATTGACCTTATAATTTCAAACTGGTGTTCAGTACGGACTGACATCAGCTGGAGAACCATTGGAAACTGGCAGTAGTGGATAGCTGTTTCTTCTTAGTATGGGAATCCTTAGCAGCGAGCACTCATGACACCACCTCGCAGGGTGTTCGAACGCAAGACCTATGGGTTCTGTGAAGAGAGTGATCTCAAAAAGCTACTGGATCCGAATTTAACAGTCTGCATTTTCCTACTTATGTTATTCTACGATATACCATAGCCTTCGTCAATGCTATCGTTGAGTACCTGTTCCTGACAAAGAGCTGTCATGATTCGTATGCCTAGTTAGCTTTATCGAATTCTTCATTGTTCTCCAAAACATTGTGGATATTAAATCAGTAAATTAATTATCAATCTAGACGCTGGGGGAGTTTAACAACACCATTCACTTTTTTCTGAATATTTTCAATTTGCTATCCACTCAGTGTGTATTTTATTTACAAACAGTACGAAATGTCTTTTATCCAGTCTTTCGAAGTACACTGCGTTAATGTACAACACCAATTGCTTAAACTGTTACTTTCTTCCTGTTTTGCACCACTTTTCTCAAGATAACGCTTATGAATTTCAGAGTGTAGAACCTAAAAGAAGTTTTTGAAAGTTTTTCATTGTGTTTGGTTGGTTGCCGAATATCTCCTTCACAGGTGATTTGTAATTCACCAACATCGACTATCTACCTCATTCAGGGCACATCCCCATATTACCGATGGCAAATAATTCAAACTGTAAATAAACCATCTAAAAATCTAGTGAATCTTCTCAGTTTCACAGTCGTTGGTCTCCGCCTTAAAGGTGGTCCTGTTTCCTACAACAATGAATGTGGTTATTTTTTTCCTTAGGACTATACTTAAATACACCTCAGGATTGACAGTTAGAAGTATATAAGCAACAAACATACATTTTCTTCGAAGCTTTATTCAACCTAATCTTTAGGTATCAAGAACCTCTGCAGAACGCATAGTTTGCAGCCAGAAGTGGTCTACACTTAATTACTGAGATACACAGATATTGCACAGCACAGTGAGGCACAGTAAGGAAATAAGCACTCAAGTAACAGTGGGTGGATAAGTTATTTTAGTTTCTGGACTACGACAGAAGTAATAAAGAGTCTCAAGTGGTTCCAAAGCAAGAGATAAATGTAACTGAGCTGAAAAATTATCAGAATAAGCCAGCTGGCATGTGTGTAAAATTATTACCATTGAGTACATTTTCCACTATTTATAAAACAAGGGAACAAGAATTAACGTTTCTCGGTTAGGCTTAGCTTTCTGTTTCATTAAAATAACAGCAAAATATGGTTATTTAGTGGTCACTTTAAACTCCTATTTAGTAGATAAACAATGAAGATCAAATTTTAAAATATGATAGAGCCTTCTGCTTTGAAAAGAAAAGAAAATCTAAATTCAGTTACCATCCAAGTTGTGCTAGAAAATCAATTCAAGATCATATGCTACCGCGTAGTTAAATTTTCCATTTAGTTTGCAAATTACAAACCATTAGTTGCATTTTCCCACATCCGAGTACTTTTTCAGTTGCCCGAAAAAAACTTCAGCTGAAAATTACCCAGTCAACTTCACAAAGTAAAATAGCTGACAAGAAATTCAAAAAACCTAGGTAATATAATAATGAATAACACGGGTGGGTAGAAACCACTGACGTCGTTCACAGCTGATTCTAACTGTCCTGATCAATGGGTTCAATGATTCTAGGTACACCGCTGATAAGCTGGTACCTAAACGAGTGAGATATTTTTGCTATATGATTTCACAACTCTATAGATCAACATATGTAATTATTTACTACTCACACAGTTCAGCAGTACACTTGACTATTTTTATTGTTCGCTTCTTTGAAGCATTTTTTGGAATTCAGGTGAACGGACTGTTCATCACTTACTCTATTTACACAAGCGTGTCTATTTACAATCTCAGTAAAGTGGAGAAGCAGTCTACGTGATACAAGGTCAAGAAGAGGAGCAGATGAAGGCGCACACCACTCACTCTCTAGTGCTAGGAACATTCCAAATCAAGTTGAAAGCCTTCAAGAAAGTCGGTGGAAGACCACAGTTCAAGTTCAACACCAGGAAACTGGAGGACGAAACTACAAAGGACAACGTCACGTCAGCCAATCACCATGAAAAAATGGGAGATATCCAGCAACATCCTCAAAGAAAACTGTGTGGATGAACACTGGAAGTCTTTGAAAGAGATGTGGAAAGAGACCTGCATACCCGTATGAGGAAGGAAAAAGAAAGAAGATAAGGAATCGATTGATCTTGATGGACACATGGAAGCTGATAGATCAGAGAGATGAGGATGTTGAAGCAGAAGATAAGCCAGTGCAGTGTAGTGCAGTGCAGTGCAAGGATGCACAACGAGAAGAGGGACTGAGTACACTGGACAACGAGGTGAAGGAGAGTTCGCGGGAAGACAGAAGACACTTCCACGACACACTGACAATTGAAGCAGAACAGGCTGCCAGCTGGTAGCAGAGATCTGACGACACTATATCAAATGACCAGGTTATTATCTAGGAGTGAAGAGATCAACACACATGAAACCAGTTGAAGATGATGACGGAAATCTAATAACCAAAGAAGAGAAACAAAGGAAACAATGGACTGACTACTTCCAAAAACTCTTCAATCTACCACCACCACCGCAACCTCCACCACCAGCACTTCGTCCAGAAATACCACCTGCAGCGCAGTCACAGAACTACCAGTGAACACAAGCACTGTGATGAACGTCGAAGTCCTGAGCGACACAAGGGGACTTAAATGCAGGAAAGCAGCAGGACCGGATGGAATTCCACCGTAAGCACTGAGAACAGGTGCAGAGACAACAGTGGACATGCTCACACCTCTATTCCACAAGGTTTGGAAGGAGGGAAGGAGAGGAAGCTACCTGCAGATTGACTGGAAGAAGGGCTACCTTGTCAAACTCCCGACGAGGGAAGACCTAAGTCTTTGCAACCAACCAAAGCAAGCAAAATATTGAGCCACATCATCCTGGAGAGGCTGAAGCATTCACTGGATTCAAAACGACGACCGGCACAGGCTGGCTGAATTCAGGAAGTAGAAATCATTTGCGGACCAAATTGCGACAATAAGCATCATCATGGAACAGAGTGTAGAATGGTAGTCAACTCTCTACTTCAACTTCATCAAACTTGAGAGGGCCTTCGACAGGGTCAGACGAGAAGTAATTTGGCAGGCAACTGCTTCAGCACTAAGGAATACCACAAATTTCTATTAATCTCATTCAACAACTATATGAAGACGCCACATGCCAAGTAATTCACAAGGGAAAGCTCAGTGATGCCTTTTAAGTGAAGACAACAGTAAAACAAGGCTGCTGTCTACTATAACTCATGATATTCCTGATTTTAGTGCAGTGCATCATGCAACAGATTTTGTTGATGACTTTCGTCTAATGTCACACAAACTTGAAGATCTACAGGCAAAAGCTAACAAGTTGACAGGAGAGGGAAGGCAGAGAAGGAAGATGTGACCAAGTGAACGTAGAGAAGACAGAGCTAGGGGTGATGAAGATACAAAACCAACACCACCACTGACAACTACAAGCTACAATCACCATCAACACGAGAAACTTAAAGGAAGTAGCCTCTTCCACCTACCAAGGCAAGGCAGCGCTCTTTCAACTACAGGTTGCGGTGGCACAGACGAGGATGTCAAAGTCAGAATCGGAAAAGCAAGACAGGCGTTCATTAACCTGAAACCAGTGTGGAGAGCTTCTGCACTCGGCATGTGGAACAAGATCCGGATTTTCAACACCAACGTCAAGTCATTGCTCCTGTATGGTTGAAAGATTTGGCGCGTTACGGATTTCCAACAAACTACAGACATTCATCAACAACTGCCACATACGCTGGCTCGCTACTGAAGGTCAGATGGATTCCATAAAGAATAAGTAACAATGAACTCTGTGAAAGAATTAATCATGAACCTTTCGCTCATCAAATATGCTGAAGGAAGTGGAGATGGATTGGGCATACACTGAGAAGACCGACTGTGGACATCGCGCCCCAGGCCCTGGAGTGGAACCCAGACAGGAAACAACGAGTTGTGCGTCCGAGGGTGACATAAAGGAGATGGTGCGAAGAGAAAATGAGAGCTTCTGGGCTGTCGTGGATTGAGGTTCAAAAGTTCTCAGAGAACAGAATGCACTTTAGACGTGCTACTGAAGCCCTATGTTCCATTAGGAACCCAAGGAACAAATGAATAATAATCTATTTACAGCTTCATTCAACGTAGACTTCCTGGAAGCACACCATTCTATTGAACTGCTTTTAGTCTCTAGCTGACGAGAACAATAGAAGAGATATGTAGTAATGTCATCATTTTGTATATTTTGCAAATATGTATTTTTGTATAGTGAAGTTAGTGGAGCTGTAAAGCTGAAAAATTCTATGTACACTATTTATTTAAAAAGACTCAGAGACATGTGTCTGTCATTGTGTATTTGAAGTTCTGTTGCTATAGATATTTTGTAAGTGTAGGCTAATAGTTCGGCAATACTCCGAATTTCAGGATAGTGAATATGTGAAACAAATATATGAGGTTTACTTCGCGACGAAAAAGCTGATATCATGGAATCGTTATATTCTCTCAGGCTACTATGGTCGGATTAAAAAGCCTTCTGTAATAACACTCTTCAAGGTTATGCCTTTAAAAAAATATCGAGAATCATTCTGAAGACTGACTTGCTACTAAGTTAGTGGTCAAATACGTTTGAGTGAACAGCTTAAGATGAAGGTAAGACAGTAATTTACCAGAAGAGAACAACTAACAACATTACTTAAAATCTCCCCTGTCTTTTCCACCTAACATCGTCGTCAATTTAGATGAATTCTCATTTTTATCAATCCCTTTCTTTCATCGATTTGATGGAAATTTATGTACGATCCTGTGTAAAGATTCTGATTTTTTTCGATATTGTTTGCAGCAAAACATAATTCAAGATACTGAAATAAATTTATATAATTCTGCTTAACTTATTCTCCTTGTTTCACTCAAGTTTGTCAATAAAGAAGACTGTTTGAAGTTTTCAGGCTAACAAAAAAGTGAATTATTTTCTAAAATCCTGTCTTTTGTACCGTCAAAATAAAAGACATATGTCCTTACTTCATTCTGAAAAAGGAACAGATTCTTGGAATGATAACACAGCTATGCAATTCCACCGCCTACTCTACCATATATGTTTCGATTACAGCTCATCTTAGTAGTCTGCAATAAAGTATATATATATATATATATGGTACCTTGACAACCATTGGGCGTTTCATACTCTGAACGGTTGTTGAAAATAAGTTAGCTTTTAAATGCGCATCACAAACAAATGAATAAGTAACATGCCCCAAACTATCACCATGGTAAAAACGGGAATAAACGAAAGTTCGGAAACCATAGTTGTAAAACAAAAGTAATACCTACTAGCAGATATCTTGATTCAGTTTATTGAGTGTAGCATCATTGTATTGAATCAAGAATAAAGTTTTAATGTAAATTAAATTGTTCTGGACAATTACAACACGTCAGTGTTTAATATTTTTGTCTGTATTTACTTCAGTTGAACATGCAACATATTTCAAGGTGTACAAAAGTTAATTAAAGATTAAAGTAAGACTTTTTATGAGTATCTTGATTTCAACTAAACTTTTATTTATCAAAATTTATGCCTTCTATATTGAAAGTTAGGTGGCTGAAAGCACAATATGTCAATCAGAATACTAACCAACAACCGTCTCTAAGGTGCAAGCGAACTCCTAAGAGTATTGTAACTGTATGCAAGGATTACATCAGGGACAATCAAATGATCATAAACAATGGTTTCTTTAGCAGCTCACTGCTTGTTAACTACTTGCTTTGAGACGAAATCATAAGATATTCAGAAAACATTTTGTTTCGGTAAGTCAATGAAGTATGTCAGAAATAAATGCTTGATGTTAACAAGAAAAAACTCCTGGACTGAATTTATTCATCTGAGTGAGTAATAACCTCTACCTTGTATGCTCTAATGGCGTATAGATTAAGCTTCAGCATCGGTATAAATGGTTTGGTTTTGAGAAGTAAAAACTGAGGCTTACCTTTTATTCTATTTCCTCTGGCTTTAGTAACACACCAACTAATAAGCAACACTGCTTTGTGGCTTGTAAAAACCATTTATTCAACTTATTATGAAAAAAATATATTCAATAAACAAAATTACCTCCTTCAGGTATCAGAAAAACTCGAGCTATAGACGGATTCCCTAGATTTATCACCGAGTCAGTAGCACAACTGCTATTTACTTCTGGAACTGTCTTCAATATTTTATGAATTTCAACACTCAAAACAACATAGAAATCCAACTTTTCATGTGTATATTCTTTTGGTACATTGGGATTTAATTGTATAACAATTCTTCTCTCGTTTTCAAACCTTCCAAACGGCTAAAAGTTGTAAAGCAGATAAATTACATACTTGAATTTACGCAAGAACAAAGATCTGGTAATCATCTTTCATATAGTAAAATTAATATAATGTGAGGTAGCATTAAAATGATTGTGAAATTATACATCCAGACCATATTACTGCAATGGTGTAGAGACTTTGAACCGCAGTGACGAGAAAAAGTATGGCACTACTTATTTCTTTCAGCGTCTACCTCGTATTTTACATAGCCTTGTTTATTCAAAAATCTTGATTGTAACCTTGGAGACTTCGGATGCCACTGTATATGTAACTGGTTATCTCATAACGCCTCTTCTCAGTGGTTCTGTTAAAATAGAACCTTAATGAATAAACGGGTTTGATACCTTAATGAATAAGATGTTAGGTTGGTCGGTGGCAGCTTTCATATTCAGACATTCTCCGAATGCATAATACTATTTTGCATTTTGTTCAGTAAATAAAACTAATCAGTAGCCTATTTAAAAACTCAACGAATTACACCCTCACTTACAATATGTCCTCCAGAAGTATGAACATAATGTAATCCAGGGATGGCAGTTCCAGATCTGATTTCGTAAAATACTGTTGAAGAGGACTGTGAAGATAAATGACACTTCTTAGCATTATTTGTTTCATTTTCTTTGGAATTTTGATGCACTGATTGTTTTGAAGTGTCCTATACAAAAGTTGTATGGATAATAAAATTCTTAGTTTATGCATGAAGTCGGTTATTTTGAAATCTTATAACTTTTAGTACTAATACAACAGTTTTAATAAAGTTGAGTTGTTTCCTCTCAAGTGCTTCTTACCAACAGAGTTTTAGGAAATAGTGGTTGCTTTTACCTTCAAAAGTGAAAACTGAAGGACATTTAATTATGTGCGCTATTAGCTTCCACAAAGTTAGTTTTACATCTAAAAAGCGAAATTCTCAGTGCTTTAAATTTTTTTTCGTTTGTACAGTGTCTTTAAGTAACAAGCATACGATGCAGAGTCATATGTCTCAACTAGCTGAGGACAGTGCAATTTCGCGGTACAATTTTAAAAATCTCTCGCTCTTAATGAATCAAAAAGAAACCTTAGGATTGGATAGTGTTTCCTGTTATTCATAAATTTACCTGTGGAAAATGCGAAGGTTTTCAATCTTCTCGCTAAGCTACATTTTCAACCCCATTCATTATTAAAATCCTGCTCACCTTTTGAGCATTTTGTGTGTGTGTGTATCTGAATAAGTTGATCCTATTTGTTCTTCCTTTCAGTTGAGTAATCTCACCTTCAGGATGCAATATCTTTATCTACTTGCAGTGATGTGTATAGAATGTCTACACCGTAAACTTTATGAAGTCAGTCTTTTAAGATACTTACTGTTAGAAAAATTTTGATGGTGATGAAAGGTCTTGTTTAGTTTTTTTCGACAGCCTGCTAACTTTGAAGTTGTTAGTGACTGTTTTTGAACGGTAACTAAAATCTGTTTCTTCTGTTTTTATCTTTGTTAACCAGATGTTCAATTTTTCGTCAAATAAGTTTAAAAATGCAGGTTTAAAGCTGCACTACTTTACTAAGTAACTTTATATTGGGATTCCTAAAGAGTGCGTATTTTCATATTTGATAAATTTGTATAACTATTCTCAATTATTATGGATGCTCTACTGAAACTAACAACTGTTCACTTTTCTTAGCAACAAAACGATCTCAAAACAGAAAAACATGATTGGCCACTTAAAATTACACTGTCACTACATGAGCGAATAAATTAAAAGGAATTAAACAAAATCATGTTTGATGCATATTTCTGAAACTACATCTGACTATTGTTTTTATGTGTATTGAAAAATAAAGCAGTAACAATCCAGTTTCAGATATTCATTTGACTTGAAAATCAAGCTCAATTTTACATTGTATGGGAAGGTAATATTTGAGTTCCTTTTCTCATTCACCCCACTGATGCAATACAAAACACTAAAATATTTAGCGATTGCCATTAAATTTTACCATTCACTGAGATTTTATAAATACATCTTGTTGAACTGATAACAGTTATTCACACAGTGTTACTAGTTATCGCATTTATCTCTGAAGATAATCCCCAATCTGCAGGACAGTTGTGAGTGCCATAAGGCTACTGAAATGCGGGAAAGCATCAGAACTGGAAGGACTGAGAACAGACGCAGGGGCAACAGCCGACATGCTCACACCACAACTGCAGAAGGTCTGGAAAGAGAGAAGGAAGGGAAGGTACCTGGCGATTGAAATAAGGGCTGCCTTGTTAAACTCCCGGAGAAGGGAGACTTGAGTCTTTGATGTATCGACTCCATTTATCGACAAAATGTATAAACTTAAAACTTTTAAAAGTGTTTACCTAAAGGTTAGCCAGGGTCACACTGAGGACCACTGCAAACTAAATAATTATAGCTGAATACATGAAATGAGTAGAACCTAAATTTGATGTTCTAAAACAATAGAAGTAACTAAATACCCTCTTCAAGCTAATGAGATTAAATTAAAGATTTTACTTGCATATTCATCGAAAGATAGTTCATCATGACGTGGTATCTCAAAATTCAAATTATCCTGAGAAGTTCGTCCAACCACCGTAAATCTGTAAAATGTCGGATTTTCACTGTTCACCTTGAATCTGCAAACAGCCACTTGCGAATGATAAATAATGTACAGAACAAATGTTGCAGATAATACAGTCCTGTGGTTCTGCTAACACGCAAGCAGCTATTACGTAAGTAAAGTTGAATGAGATATATCATTACAAGTGTGTCCTATGAATCAGAGACAGTCAGTTGATCCGCTTAAACAAATCACTGAGTTTGCTAACACTGACTTCATCTTTAAGATGAAATGGTTTTAGACTGAATTGCGCTTTCATCTTCCAGCTTCAATTACACAAAAGAGTAGTAGTAAAATTTTGTTTAAGATATGGTTAACGCTATCTAGGTAAGTTTACAATCTCCCGCTTTTGTGATCACTTTTCTCCAATCAGCATGCATTTCTGACAAAATGTGTCAGCCAACCAATCCATGTACTGCACAGACATTTCCCATCCACTGTGATAAAATGAAAGTAGACAGTTTGGACTTTTTGACTGAAAAAATTCCTAATATCTTTCATCGGACAGCGATGATCTAATGATTAATCGTTTTCTCTCAACCGATTTTAAAATAATACTTTACGTGTAATTACTGGTTCCAAATATGATGAAATGAGCATCCTGGATTCCACCGCAAGTCACTACCCATCATTACATTACTTTACATGGGTTATTCATTTTTCTATCGCGTTCACATTTTAGTATTCACCCAACTACTTTCTTTTCTCTTTCATTATAACATAATCAGAGATCTTTCCACGATATGACCTTTTATTCCTCAGACAAATGTTTACATAATCACACGTGACTGGTTTTTATGCATAATCTAGTCCTGAGGAAGGCCACTTGTGACCTGAGTGATGGCCTCTTTAAGGCTTTGACTTCTGTGCTAGGTGACGTGGTTTCAGATTTCATCATAGGACATCACTTCATGAAAGTTGTAGACACATCTTGTTGACGACCACCAACAAGCGCGAAATTCGAATTAAAGGCCTCTCTGTTGACTGACTGCTCTTCGCTAACACTGAAGTATATGTGAACACTTCAGTTAAGTTGTGAACAGATAAATTCACTTATTATTACACCTTAAGGTATCGTTATTACAGGTATTTATTTTATATATTTCCTGAAGTAGCATTGACTAGTTGATGTTGATCTGTTACAGAGTAAAATAAATATTACACATTATACAGTGCCATCTGTAGAGTAATTATGCAGACACTCCACTTTCAAATATTGGGTTATTTTTTCAAGACGAGTGCAGTGTAAATAGTTCCGACCTTCAGATATTACATTCAGCCTTCATATCACACATTTGGGAGAAAACTCCTGTATAGTGTATATAGTGTAATAAGAATAAGGAGGAGAAATGTGATATATTCGGGAAATGCAGTTCAAACAATCCGATCACACATTTACTTGCCAAGGTATTCTATCTGAAAAATGAAAGTCGGGTGAAGTAAGATAAGTAAATAAGGATAGTACAGGATTTAGAAAATGTAAGGATAATAAAAGGAGGAATAATACATTTTCACACCTCCCTTGGCATTGATTATTATTCTTCTTTATTGTCTTTATATCTTCCAAATCTTATATTATCCTAATTTATTTATCTTACCCGACCAGATTTTTATCTTACGGATAAAATGTCTTGACAAATGAATGTCTGATCAGACTGTTCAAACTGTATTGGGCAAATACATCATATTTCTCAGATAAACTCCGTCTTCCTATTACATTATGAAAACCTATCAAAGAGATTAATTGTTTCAAAATGTTGTATTCTTTCGGCAAATATATGACAAATATTCGTACAAAATTAGTTCATGCTTTTGTGATAGTAGAGATTTGTAGCCTATAAAGAAAGTAAACTTTGATGAAGTCTTTTAGCTTGGTGACGAAACTTCCAAATAGAATACTTAAAAGTTCAGAGAACACTAGACAATTATCAGATTTTATTTCTGATATACAACTGTATTTGAGTAAAAATCTTTGCACCTTAAACAAAAATTACAATCCATCTTGTTGCCCTAAACTCAGTATTTCAATAAAAAGATATGTGTATGTATATAATTCTAGTTCGAAGCCAGTTGACATCAATTAACACATGATTGTAAAAAGCAAACTCACCTGTTCTGAAACAGATTCACGTTTAGTCTGATTTAAAGATGTCCTGATTATTTTGCCATCATCTCTTGTAGACACTGGTCCCCTAGAATAAAATAATAAAATTCAAGCACTTGAGACTTAATTGAAATATCTATAACTAAATATCTCATTATTTTGACAAGATGCTTATTGATCACAAACATCGTTACACATGATTTAGGCCTATCACAAGTCATGATGCAATTTAACCTTACTTTGTTTATTTGGTTTTGAAACCAACATCAGTGGACCATTTTCTGTTGCATAACACGGATTACATAAGTGGGTTGTCTGACTGATATCTTTCAGTTTAGTTACAAATATAATTGGGTTATTTCACGAGGACTCGTGAATGATTTACAGTTCAACGTAATAAAACCTGGGTTGTGAAAACACGAATTCGTCATTATTATCTTGTCTGCACCACTTCAGTGTAGTTTGTATCATGTTATTAATGTTTCTAAATACCGGATGCAATTGCTTGGAGGTAGTATGTTAATAAAACTACATCTCTTTAAATGGATTAAAATATGATTGAATCTTATCATTACGGCGAGGATGAATGACATTTATAATACTGACAACATCATGCGGACAGAAGTGAGAAGATGGGCATACGCTGGCTGGACTGATGAAAAGAGCCTACAAGATTTGGATTTCTCTGACGTTGACCACATATGTCTAATGTCCTGTGGCACGAACTCGAAGATTTACGGGCGAAAAGTAACAAGTTGACGGAAGAACCAGTGAAGACGGGACTTCCTTCAGGTGAATGTGGAGAAAACATAGGTGATGAGGATACTCGACGAACAACTGCATGAACAACAAGCACAAATCACCACCAAAGGGGAAAACCTAAAGGAAGTAGTCTCTTTCACCTACCTATACAATGCAGCATTGTTTCAACTACAGGAGGCGGCACAGACGAGGATGTCAAAGGCAAGATCGGAAAAGCAAAACAGGTCTTCATCAATCTAAAATTAGCGTGGAGATCTACCGCACTCAGCATAAAGAGTGAACAATATCCGGATTTTTAACAGAATTGTCAAGTCAGTGCTTCCATGTGATGGTTCGAAAAGCTGGCGTGTCACAAAAAACATTTCCAACAGACTACTGACATTCATCAACACCCACTCGATACTGACACTGAAGATCAGATGGCCAGAAAGAATAAGCAACAAGGAATCCTGGCTGGCTGGCAACCAACCAACCAAAAACCAATCGCACAACAAATATGCCGAAGGAAGTGGAGATGGATTGGATTGGGCATACACTGAGAAGGCCGATTTGGAACATCACGTGCCAGGCCAGTCACTCGAATGAAATCCAAAGAAGAAACGACAAGTTGGGCGTCTGAGTCGAGGTTGATATGGAGGAAATTATGTGAGGAAGAAATGAAAGCTTATGGGCTGTCGTGGAGCCAGGTTCAAAAGACTGTAGAGAAGAGAGTGTAGTGGAGACGTGCTACCGAAGCCCTATGTTTCACTAGGAACCCAAGAGAAATATAATAATAATAATCGTAATCGTGCACTCTACAGTTTACAGTTGTTATTACTTTAATAAAGAAAACAGTTACCGAGTTTAGTTGACGTCATCACAGGGACAAAGCATCATTTAATCAAGAGGAACTTTTCACTTGACATACTCTTAAGTTGAAGAAAAAGGTTGCATCTTACAAATGTGTCAGATTTTACGATCTTGTATATAAGTACCATACGTTAGGGATAAACTGGAATTTAAGCAAATGGTTTAAATAATAAATTTGCATTTACTGAAAATTATCTTTGAATCTCACTTTATTATCAGTCGTTTGAGTAATTCAAAAATCCGTAGACATTGAACATAGACTTCATACTTAGATATGAAACTGTACGCAGTTGTCACAACACACTTTACTCACGTACTTCAGTATTTTTCAAAGTTAAGTTATATCAGAATTTTCGAGAAACATTTTTTACTTCCATATATTTTTACAATGAAAAATTCAAATTCCACAAGTATATATACTTACAAAATGCTGTAACCCACCTTTGAAAAATTACAGGGAGAATGACTTCTTTTGCGCCAAAGTGTATTGTGTACGTATGAGCATTGAAAAATATTTTCCCTTCATTACTCAAACCTTTAAATTTCAATGTTCATCAATATAACGAAGTTATTTTATAGAAAATTTTACGGTAAAAAAGTAATCTTATAGAAATCAGAGATTAGTGCAGAGATTTTTCATTTCCATCACTGTACAATTCTAACAAACATTTCGCGTTCAGTTAAATTTGCCTGACTAAACCAAACTATAAAATAATTTAGGGGTGAAATGCTTATGCTGTATAATGAGACAGAGTGACTAAACAAAGATAAAAAAGACACTAAGGGATAGAAAATAGAAATAACAGGTTGATCCACAGAGTATCCAGATATCTTCAGTAACATATAAGTATTCAAAAATGTATATCATGAGAAACCCCTTTAAATCATTCCGTTGAAAAAATGCAACTAAACGTTACTCTCTTCTGCCTTAGACACTTCACAACAGCGGTATTAACGTTCAGTAGTATTCGAATTCACTGTTAGAAAACGCAGTGTTTCAAATCAAGAACTGGTCCATAATGCATAATAATAGCCTCATAGTACACTGTGTCGTTGATGACTTTAAAAGTGACACTTTACTCATTGAAAAGGGTATAGTACTATTAAAACAAAGTTCTTCAATGAATGATAACCACTCAGTGAAGAAAATGCAAACCTAAGCGGAAATTCTGGTTATGTCACATAGTGTGAGGTGTGTGACATTATCGTGAACCTTTCATTGTCTTTCTAAAAAATGCCATCACAACTAACTTTAGCCCTGAGTGAGCTGTCACGAATTCTCTATGATTGACTCAGCAACCTGTCCGGATGAAGTGATGAATAAATAATTGTTCCTTTTGACTGTTCAGTCACTGAATACACAAATTTTCTTACTAGCCATGTCTAAACTTGATATCTAAACTTTTAATTGTTTATCAACTACTAATTATTTTACGCGAAACAATTTGAAAATAAGATTGCCATTAAAAACGATTTTCAAAAACACCCAACTGCCTAATATCTGTTATGACAAAACAAAATTGTTTTACCCTCATGCATCTGTTCCATTTCCATGGTTCCTTTTCTCGTATGTTGGTCAAGGTTAGTTAGTTTGTTCAAGACTGTATGACGAAACCTGATGAAAATTTTAAAAATATTTAGTTGGAAAAAATACGATTTAAAATGACATTACACTACGATTCACTTGATAAGAACTACTTTATAATGGTTCCAAAATACAATTTGAAGACTGCTGTGGATGATATACATGTAAAGTTCATTTATAAATCTTAAGAAATAATTTCTAGCCGATACATAAAGGATGTGCTTATCGTTCACAAAGGTAATACTGCCCAAGCAAAAAAAATAAGACGTGCACTTGGAAACAGCAATAATAACCAAAGACAGAAAAGTATACCTAGTAAGTATTAATAAAAACAATAATAATAACAATAAAAATGATGATGCACTCTCCCGAGAAAATATATTGATTTAATTCATATATGCAAACTAATTGTGAATTTGTCAGGAATTGTACATAATATTGAAGATCAAAATACATTTAGCAGAAAAACATTTGTGTCTTAAGTTCGAAAACGTATTAAACCGTCATAATAAAAACTGCTGCAGAAACATGAAAGCAAACTAATTCCTCGCTGGAATCGGAGAGGCGAAATGACGCCGGTCGGTGAAAGCCTTTGCGAAGTCAGTCGGCCAATGTGTCTTCTCTCGATGAAAGCATGAAATATTCGCACAATGTGTGAACCTGGCAAGGCTGCCCAGATTGCAAAGGAGATGAGAAGGTATGGCACTGAAGTGATAGGAGTTTGCGAAAGCAAATGGAATGGAACCGGATTCTCCAAACTGTCAACTGGCGAGTCAATAATCCACTCCGATATTGTCACCCAGACAACACGACAACCACGAACACACTGAGTTATGGAGTGTCTATCACAATTTTCCCAACAGCATCGAAGGGATCAGGATCATGACAGAAAGATTCAACTCAAAAAGAAGGAAAGTCACAATCACACAATGCTACACTACGCACCTACAAATAATGCAGATGAAGAGAAGAAGGAAGAATTTTACAGACAACTACAATCAACACTGAACAAGACCGCACTCCAGTTGGCGACATCAAAATTCTAATGGGTGGGGTGATATGAATGCCAAAATGGGAGCAGATAACACAGGAAGAGAACTAACCATGGGTCGAGAATCACTTAGTGAAGTGATGAACGAGAATGGAGAATTGTTTGCACAATTCTGTGCATTCAACAACCTGGTGATTGGAGGCACTGTGTACAATCACAAGGATTTTCACAAAGCGACATGGATTTGACCAGACATCAGGAGACAGTAAAAATCAGATCGACTTTATCTCAATGTGAAGAAAGTGTAGAGGCAGTCTACTTGACACAAGGTCAAGTAGGAGAGTAGATGTAGGTTCTCACCACTATCTAGTGCAAGGAAGCTTCCAAATCAAGTTGAGAGCCTTCAAAGAAGTTGGTGAAAGACCACAGTTCAAGTTCAACACCAGGAAACTGGAGGACGAAACTACAAAGGACACCGTCACGTCAGCCAATCATCATGAAAAAATAGGAGATATCCAGCAACATCCTCAAAGAAAACTGTGTGGATGAACACTGGAAGTCTTTGAAAGAGATGTGGAAGGAGACCTGTATAACCGTATGAGGAAGGAAGAAGAAAGAAGATAAGGAATGGATGGATCTTGATGGGCACATGGAAGCTGATAGATCAGAGAGATGAGGATGTTGAAGCAGAAGATAAACCAGTGCAGTGCAGTGCAAGGATGCACAACGAGAAGAGGGAATGAGTACAATGTGTAAAGCACTACACTGGACAACGAGGTGAAGGAGAGTTCGCGGGAAGACAAAAGGCACTTCCACGACACACTGACAATTGAAGCAGAACAGGCTGCCAGCTGGTAGCAGAGATCTGACGACACTATATCAAATGACCAGGTTATTATCTAGGAGTGAAGAGATCAACACAGATGAAACCAGTTGAAGATGATGACGGAGATCTAATAACCAAAGAAGAGAAACAAAGGAAACAATGGACTGACTACTTCCAAAAACTCTTCAATCTACCACCACCACCGCAACCTCCACCACCAGCACTTCGTCCAGAAATACCACCTGCAGCGCAGTCACAGAGCTACCAGTGAACACAAGCACTGTGATGAACGTCGAAGTCCTGAGTGACACGAGGGGACTGAATTGCGGGAAAGCAGCAGGACCAGATAGAATTCCGCCGTGAGCACTGAGAGCAGGTACAGAGACAACAGTGGACATGCTCACACCTCTATTCCACAAGGTCTGGAATGAAGGGAAGGAGGGGCAGCTACCTGCAGATTTTCAACACCAAAGTCAAGTCAGTGCTCCTTTATGGTTCAGAGACCTGGCACGTTATGAAACGGGTTTCCAACAAACTACAGGCATTCATCAACAACTGCCTGCGCTGGCTTCTAGTGGAGTCCCACCTGATCCTGTTGCTTTCGCAGCGTTCAGGACTTCACTTCGGCTTCTTTAGGTGGGCTTGTGTTCACTGGTAGTTCTGTGTCTGGGCTTCTGGTTCTGTTTCTGGGAGAGTTTTATTTGGTGGTCGATTGTAGAGTTTTTGAAGTGGTCAGTCGATCGTTTGCTTTGATTCTTTTACCTGTGGCCTTTTCTGCTTCACTTGCCAGCGTGTCGTAGAAGTGTCTTTTGTCTTTTCGTGCACTCTTCTTCACTTCGTTGTCCAGTGTAGTAATTTATAGGTTGTTTTCATCCTTGCACTAATTCATCTTTTGTTTTGCATTCCTCTTCTCCCTCCTCTATCAGGTTCCATGTGCCCATCAAGATCCATCCATTCCTTATCTTCTTTCTTCTTCCTTCCTCATACGGTTATACAGGTCTCCTTCCACATCTCTTTCAAAGACTTCCAGTGTTCATCCACACAGTTTTCTTTGAGGATGTTGCTGGATATCTCCTATTTTTTCATGATGATTGGCTGACGTGACGGTGTCCTTTGTAGTTTCGTCCTCCAGTTTCCTGGTGTTGAACTTGAACTGTGGTCTTTCACCAACTTCTTTGAAGGCTCTCAACTTGATTTGGAAGCTTCCTTGCACTAGATAGTGGTGAGAACCTACATCTACTCTCCTACTTGACCTTGTGTCAAGTAGACTGCCTCTACACTTTCTTCACATTGAGATAAAGTCGATCTGATTTTTACTGTCTCCTGATGTCTGGTCAAATCCATGTCGCTTTGTGAAAATCCTTGTGATTGTACACAGTGCCTCCAATCACCAGGTTGTTGAATGCACAGAATTGTGCAAACAATTCTCCATTCTCGTTCATCACTTCACTAAGTGATTCTCGACCCATGGTTAGTTCTCTTCCTGTGTTATCTGCTCCCATTTTGGCATTCATATCACCCCACCCATTAGAATTTTGATGTCGCCAACTGGAGTGCGGTCTTGTTCAGTGTTGATTGTAGTTGTCTGTAAAATTCTTCCTTCTTCTCTTCATCTGCATTATTTGTAGGTGCGTAGTGTAGCATTGTGTGATTGTGACTTTCCTTCTTTTTGAGTTGAATCTTTCTGTCATGATCCTGATCCCTTCGATGCTGTTGGGAAAATTGTGATAGACACTCCATAACTCAGTGTGTTCGTGGTTGTCGTGTTGTCTGGGTGACAATATCGGAGTGGATTATTGACTCGCCAGTTGACAGTTTGGAGAATCCGGTTCCATTCCATTTGCTTTCGCAAACTCCTATCACTTCAGTGCCATACCTTCTCATCTCCTTTGCAATCTGGGCAGCCTTGCCAGGTTCACACATTGTGCGAATATTTCATGCTTTCATCGAGAGAAGACACATTGGCCGACTGACTTCGCAAAGGCTTTCACCGACCGGCGTCATTTCGCCTCTCCGATTCCAGCGAGGAATTAGTTTGCTTTTATTTTTTTTTCTCTATGCTTTAGCGATTGTGTTAGGTTTCTGGGGTATGGTTGCTAGTGCTATGCCGAGGTTTCCCTCTTTATCCGGGCTAAGGACCGTCTAGTAACTAGTGCACTAGTTAGCCAGGCGATGTTATATATATATATATAAATATATTCTCTATATATATATTCGTATATATATTTATATATGTATATATGTATATATGTATATGTATATACATATATATATATAGAATCAAAAGCTTGCAGTCTCGACGCATCCCCGCAGGAGCGAATATGCCAATCATTTCGGTTTAGTTTAAGACTGCATAGTCGTAGCATTTATACTAAAACTACAGCCATCGCAGATGAAGTGGCTATTTTGGCTCGGTGGTGGTCTATTGGATAACGTTTAGTTTTTGAAGCGATCTATCGTGAGTTCGAATCCTGGTGGAACAATATCACACTGGGAGGCAGGTTCATCCAGCTGACGAGTCCAAAATTGGATGAAGTGCGCATACTGAAATCCTCTGTTAGCCACTAACCGCCAATACTATGTAATTAAAAATACAGGCAATACCGAGGCATCCGCGTGTAGCTCACATAGAAATAGAGACCGATCAGTTATTTCCAATGAACGAAGGTATAAAACAAGCAATTACAGTAATGACCATTACACGAAATACTCATCATTATATCTGACCCTGCTAATAAGTAGCCTACAATTTTTTTCTGAAAACATGTCTAAACTGGCGTAATTTAGTTGGTTGTAGTAGACTTCAACTCATCAGTCTGCTACTGAGTTCCATAGGAAATAATCAAAATCAGGTCATCAAAGATACCTAAATAACGTAAACATTGTGGTTTTTATTTTTATCCTGTGTGGTTTTTTGATTTTACACTTTTGTTTAACTTGCTCATTGATCATCAAATGCGAAAAAATGCAGCGCAATCACTAATCGTATTTTTCTCTCATGTTCATGATTTTGTTTCCCGAACATAAGATGCAATTACATTATCAGTACAAAAAAGGGCTGAGTAAAGAAGTATTCCCATCCAATTACGTCTGATCATCAGCTTCACACTAATATGTAGGTTTTAACTTTTGATAACCTAATACCGTATTCTGGTGCTCGAGAGGCAGAAATTCATGAATTTGCTTACTACTTAACATCAGCATCCTTCCAGA